GTGTGTGTGTGTGTGTGTGTGTGTGTGTGTGTGTGTGTGTGTGTGTGGTGTGCAAGCGTGAGCCTGTGGAGACTGGAGGCTGATGTCAGGGTCTTTTTATATCACCCTCCACCTAAGATCCCTCACAGAAACCTGGAGTTCACTGGTTTGGCAAGATGGCTGGTCAGCAATCCCAGAGACTCTTGCAGTCTCCAGAGCTTCCCCAGAGCTAGGATTACAAGCACTCACCACTAGGCCTGGCGCTCACCTGGGGTCTGAGGATGGATTCAGGGCCTCGTGCTCATGGGACAAGAACCTTATTGACTGAGCTACCTCCCAAGACTGACATTAGTTGCTCAAAACTGTCAAGAGTCTGGCTGATTTTAGGTGTCTTACCAGGGGACATTAGTTAGTTCCTAACCATACTGGACAGCACAAAGTCACTTTAAGAGAGTTCCGGACCTTTGCAGCTGGGTCTACCGGCCCTTTAAACAATCGTCTGTGTGACTGCCACACTGCATGGCAGGCACAGGAGGCTTGCTTCACTACAGCAGCTGTAGGTGGGTGGCCTGTGCTGGAGGCCTTTGATGCCAGGTGCCAACAAGACTGTGTGTGTGTGTGTGTGTGTGTGTTGAGAGAGAGATAATGTGTTTTCATACATGCAAACTCGAGAACTGGTGCCTGCAGAAACCAAAGGATCTCCCTGGACCTGTGAATCACCTACAGAGGTGCTGGGTTATCAAACCTGGGTCTTGAGCAAGAGCGATAAGTACTCTTAGGTATTCAGCCACCTCTCTAGCCTGAGCTTGGGTACCTTTAGGGAACTTTTAGTCCCGTGACAGCAAAAAAAAGTTGTGATTCTGGTACGGCTTGGCCACTCTTGTAGAGAGGGGGTTGAGAAACTTCTTCAAAGGGCCAGAGACTAAATAATTTTGGCTTGTGAGTCATATGGCTTGACAGAACTACCAAACATTCACGTAGCACAAAAGCAGCCAAAGGTAGTGAGTAAATTCATGAGCACGCCTGTATTTCATACAGGGGGGAGTGATCCATGTTTTGGTTTGCCAACCTTGTGCCTCAAATATTAATATGCATAGAAACTATACAAAGATACCACTAAAATTCAGGTTCTAATTCAAAACCTGGGGCGGGGCCTGGGATGAAGCATTCCTGTCAGTACCAACTCCTAGGCGGAGTTGATGCCCTGTGTATAGTAGGGACAATAGAAAAGGGACCTCGTTCTACACTCAGATTTTATATGATGAGATGGCAATGAACTGCTATATTTTGTGGTTCCTCAAGGAAATAGTTCAACAAAACCACTATTCAAAAATTCTTAAGATTAGAAAGATTCGCTTACACACTTACCTATAAACAACATAGAATGCTTTCGTGCAAATTTCAGGCCTTCATTTCTATCAACTTCACGATTTTCCTAAAAGACAAAAGCAGTGACTTTCAAAAGCTGTCATTTTCATGAGTGGTGGGGCATGACTGCATTCCCAACCGAGAAAATTTAAATTTGGGAACCAGCTTGGGCAAGTTGGCAAGACAAAAATTAAAAGGTTGGAATGTAGCTCCACAGTAGAACATGTATTTAACATGCAGGAAGTGCTGGGTTCAAATCTCATTTCTCCTCCTCTCCCATCCCACAAAAGAGCTACGCAAATGTCAAGTATCTGGTTTTTTACCTTATCAATTTTATTTCCAACTAGCATGTTTACTATGTCATTTCTTGTACAGTATGTTTCCAATTCGTTTAACCAATTATCCAGTTTAACAAAGGTGTCTCTTCTTGTGACATCATAAACTGAAATAAAAGCAGAGCCACTAATTTAAAAGTCACACAAAATAAGAGCAATGACTTATTTCTGATGTTCACTGAAAGCTACCATTACTGTATAAGCAAGTCTGGTTTTTGTTAATCCTTTACTGCTTAAAACAAATTTAATCAACACACACAGCGACAGAAAGGAAATGATACCTTGTGTGGCAACTGACAATCAGTTACAACAAAACTGCAACTTGATACGGAGAGGTCTCTCCAAGCACAAAATACTGTAATCTAAATCTTAATAAGATACCAAATATTACATGACTTCAAACATTTATTACTCTTATGTTTTAATAGCAATGATCAGAATTTGCAACTTTCAAAATGTATGTGTAGTTGTTGTGCTGGCTAGTTTTATGTCAATGAAACACAAGCTACAATTACCTGAAAGGAGGGAACCTCAATTAAGAAAATGCCTCCATAAGATCAGGCTGCAGGCAAGCCTGGAAGGCATTTTTTTTTTTTTTTTGGATTTATTTATTTACATTGCATACAATGTTGTGCCTGCAGGCCAGAAGAAGGCGCCAGATCTCATTTTAAAAGGTTGCGAGCTACCAGGTGGTTGCTGGGAATTGGACTCAGGACCTTTGGAAGAATACCCAGTGCTCTTAAACTCTGAGCCATTTCTCCAGCCCATAAGGCATTTTCTTAAATAGTGATTGATGGGGGAGGGCTCAGCCTATTATGGGTGGTGTCATCCCTGGGGTGGTGGCCCTCCAGGTTCCTGTCCTGCTTGAGTTCCTGTCCTGACTCCCTTCAATGATGGACTATGATGTGGAGAGTAAGCCAAATAAACCGTTTCCTCCCCAACTTGCTTTTGGTCATGGTGTTTCCTCCCAGCAACAGAGGTCCTAACTACAACAGAACTAGAGTGAGAGCGATCCTGTCTGGCCCCCTCTGTTGTTACTTCTGCCTTGTGTCATGATGCATCAGAAGAACTTGGTATTCAAACCGTTGCTATTCTTAAAAACTAGCACAGTCAAATGGAGGAAGACTAGGAACTTCTCCACAGAGTATCTGAAAATCAAATTTTTTTTTATTATGAATCCTTAATGGCAGTGCTACTTTTTGATAAAAATAGGTTCTACTTAGTAATACACTCTGTTTATAGACTGAAGCAAGTGTTAATTTACTGACAAGTGAAAACAAGTTTGGGTCATGCTTTAGGACAGATGTGGATCAATTTTCAATTTATATCCTCATCAACATGGGTTTTAAAACCAAAGATAATAGTCTTCTCCTTTGTAAATTTCCACACAAAGAGTTGAAAAAAGTTAAGCTTAATGTTGGATATATCAAGTAAAGTCTCTATAACTTAAAAGTACATATATATATGAACTCACACACGTAAAAAAGTAACCCTAGATTAGAAACCCCAATGGACATTATTCTAAGCATGCATACAGTAAGGTCCTTACCTAGTATAACTCCCTGCGCACCTCTGTAATAGCTGGGAGTTAGGGTTCTGAACCTCTCTTGACCGGCCGTATCCTGAGAAAGACAACCAATTAGTACTAAGTAAAGCAAAGTATCAACAGCATGTCTGCAATGCTATTGAACACATTTAAGCAAGTCAAATAACTACTAAAAACACTCAAAACTTAAGTACAATGTGTGTTTAATAGTAAGTGTTACACTACTGGTTCATCTGTAAAAACACACAAGTGAAGGTTTTCTGCCATGACAGTCTTAAAATTTTTATCACACATGAAACACATTTCTTTGAAAGTCATATGACTCTTAACTTCAACTGTGCAATGAAATGATCTGGGAACATCTATGTTATATCCCTGAAGATTCTGATAGAACCAATCTACTTAAGGACAGGAATGAAGTCTTCCTAGGTTGTTCTGGTGAAAAAGCAAAGGATCACTTATTTGGGAGGGAAATGGAGGTGTGGGAGCGCACTTGAGGAGTGGAGGGAGGAAAGACAGTGGTAAGGATATATAAGAGAAGAATAAAACAAATGAACAGCAGCCTTCCTTGATCACTCTGCTGAAGAAGTGAGGCTGAGGAACACTGGTTTAAGAAGAGACACAGGAGCATCTAATTTCCTAGGAGAGATTTTAAAGTTATCCTTTAAAAAATGCTTTTCTCTTTGTAAAATATATAAAACAAAACATTACAGCAGGGGAAGGAAGAAGAAGGGAAAAAGGAAGAAAAAAGAGAAGGAGAAAGGGAGAAGAGGGGAGTCACTAATTTCATCTCCTCCAGGCCATTGTCCTTCCTGGTCTTCTTCCCAGCACCCTTTGCTTCTGTGTGAAGGTGTCAGGATCTCTCGGGGCTGCAGCATCAGCCTATTATAACCTGCATTATTATGAAAGGTCTTCTTAGTGAAGTTTTACAAACAGCTGGCGCATTCATCTACGGATCACTGCACGCCCCAGTTTAAGGAGGACTGAGTACTGACTGCCTGGCCACTGACGACTGCCTGGCCACCGATGGGAGGAGAGCTGGAGAGCAAAGGTCCACACCAGTCCTCATCTCAGCGACAAGGATCGCTGTGCGGAAGCTACGCAGCAAGCACAGGCTCCTTTGACAGAACAGTGTCCGTGACCTCTGAGAAGCCTGTGAGACTGGAGAGGAATTTTCAAACAGCAACGAGATGCCAGCAATATGGAATTTCTTTGTTTGGCTAAGAAAGAGTGCTGTGAAACAGAGTATTTGAGGAAATGCATAGTCTCACAGGGGACTTAAGAGGAAAATCACTCCCAGCATAAAGAGCTTTGAACATAAGCCATTCTCTTTTAGACATAAATGTACCATCCCTGCTCCCAGATTCATAGCAGCAAGAATTCATAGCACTACCCCTAGCTCTGCCACATTTGTTCAGATGAAAACCTAACACAGTTAAACTTTCTGAACAGAAACTTGTAGTGGAAACCCAATTTCTCTCTTCCAAGTCCTCAGGCTTCAGAGTTTCTTACAAAAACCTGGTCTCCCTTAACTCACTCGATCTGCAGAAGGCTTATGTTTTAAAGCTTCATCAAGCAAACATATCATCTAGGGCGGACTGTGACTGATGATGATAGAGGCAACTTTAACAATCAGGACACAGCTACAATAGCGGTCAGGACTCAACTCTGTAAAAGAAGTCAACTGGAAACCATGATACAAGTGTCTAATTCTGCCTCTACAACAGAATGCAACTGGTTTCAATCCACCCATACAGAATGCAAACAAATAAAGATTTTTTTTTTCTGTGTTCGACTTAAGATTTTTAATCACACATGCAACCTCTTTCAATGAAAGCCATGAAACATATATTCTCGTGTGGCCACAGACTTAAATCTGCATCTATTTAAGACAATCCATTTCAGTAAAATGTAACAGAGGCTAGAGAGTTGGCTCAGCAGTTAAGAACACTTGCCATTCTTGCAGAAGACCAGGGCTCTGTTCCCAACACCCATATCGTCAATCACAATAGTCTGTAACTCCAGTTGCAGGGGAATCCAAAGCCCTTTTATGGCCTCCAGGAACACCAAGTATGCACACGGTACACAGAACTACATGAAGGCAACCACCCATACACACAAAATAAAAAATATACTATAAAAAAAGTTATCTTGAGAAACATATTTTAGCAATTTCCTCACATGCAAAGAAAACAATAAATTAGCAGCATTCAGGATCTACAGTACCGGGAGTCTCAGAACTCCATCATGGAAGCATTTACATGCTCCAGGTTATGGTTTCTTTCTTTCTTGTTGTTTTTGTCTTTGTTTTGAAAGAGAAGGGAGAATAAAAGAAAATGCTACTGAGAGCAAAACTATTTCACAATTCAAAAAGTTTCACAAGAGCAGCGGTGGAACAGAAAACTTTAATAAATTAATTTCTAGACTTAGCACAGGGCAATCTAATATAAACTCTGAGAACTTCAAAACCTGCCTTCGGGCTAAGATGGTTCAGCAGGTAAAAGCTGCCTGCTTAAGCACAGGATCCCACGAGAGTAGGAGAAAACAGACGCTGTTCCTGACCTACAAGCATGCTGTGTGTGGTACTGTGTGTCCTCACTCATTCACAGTCTCATACACACACATACATCATGTAATTTTGACAATTTGTATGTAAAAATTTAACCATGACCAGATGTTAAAACCTTGGCATTTTAAAATTCATTTATACAAATGTTTCGTATAATTTTGAGGGCAAAATCCAAAATCTTGCATCAAAGCATTAGACCAGAATTTATAATAACTGTGTACTAAATACTCAGACATTAAACTTTTGCTTATGTTTGTCTTCACAACCAGAAATAAGTATTGTGTACAGTAACATACTTGTTCAGACGAAAGAGACCGATCCTTTTGTATGCTATAGTTTTATTTTCTAATGGGAAGGCAAGGAAATTAGAGATTACTAAAGACGGGTACAGATTAAACCCAAGGGCTGAGAAAGCCCTAGAAAGGCTAAATAAGAGAATTCAGAGTGTCCAAGTGAGGCAAGTGTGTAGAAGGGGAAAGACACACGCAGAGGCGACATGGTCACGGTGAGTGTGTGCTTTGGAGGCAATGGGGGCAGGGCTACTAACAAGAGGAACTCTCTCACTGTCTTCCTATACACATACTGCAGCACAATCAGAGGAAACTATGAGCGCAGATATTCTTACACTGTCTGGAAGCCCCTCCCCTAGATATGCTACTCAGACGCTATAAGAAAACCAATGACCAGAGCAAATAAATATTAAAAAGCTTTGATACAGCAAGAGTACCCGTAGGTATCCTTCCCATTGCACCTTACCCTCACCAGCACTCATGGTGAGGCCAGCTGGAGAGAGCCTACAGGGTCAGAGAGTGAGGGCTGCACACATGCATCCCAACAGGAGCATGCTTTCCTTAAGCAGCATCTTAGAGCTAAATGACAGAGCAACGAATATAGCAAGCAAAGCGCAAACATTTTTATTATGTAAAGATTTTATTTTTTTCAACTGGAAGAGTGCTTTATTATACTGAGAACTCAGTTCAGAGTAAACGGAATAGACAATAAATTGTCTAAGCTTCAAAAATAAACAAGTCATAAAAATCCCTTCATGGCTAGGAAGCTTGAGAATTCATCTGTCTGAGGTGACTGCTTACATTATAAAGATACAGAAGAAGCAGCATGGAGGTATCTACCAGTGTTTCCATGTTAGAAAATGGTTACAGTAACAATGTTAAAGCATGAAAACAACAAATGTTAATATAAAATGGACTATGAATAGAATTCATGAATTCATTTCCAAGTATGGTCAATATCAGAAAAACCTCAAACAGAAATAAGGTTGTTAGAAAGACATAAATAAAAAAGATGGCAATGCTTAACACAAATTAAGGGGGTGGAAGGGTGAGTATCGAAATAGGAGCAGTGGGAGTGAACAGTGTCAGGGCTGCGCTCTCAGCCACCACTTCTACTGCTGGCCTTCCGTCCCTAACGTAACTAGATATGCACACAGATATGCAGAAAACAGGGTGCTTGTGCAGACAATTATATTTGTGAACAACTGGCATCAATTCAAATGCCTTTGACTGAGGACCAATAAATTAGTGTGTCACTGGGGGTGGGCTTTGAGGATTCAGGTCCTCAAGCCATGCCCAGTGTCATGCTCTCTTCCTGCTACCTGCCAATCCAGATGTACAACTCTCAGCTCCTTCTCCAGCACCATGCTTCCTGCCATGATGACAATGGACCTCTGAAACTGTAAGCCAGTCCCAATTAAACGTTTCCTTTCGGTGTGATCATGGTGTCTCTTCACAGCAATGACTCCCTAACAAAGACTCAGCTTCTCCAGAGGACCTGAGCTGGGCTCCCAACAACCACAGCTGGCAACCACAACTCCTGTAACTCCTGTATAACATGGCATACAGACACACACATAAATGAAATAAAAATAAATTTCAAAAAGTACATTTTAAAAATTCTTACCCATATTGCAAGTTTAGCCTTATTTCCATCCACTGAAATAGTTTTCACTTTAAAGTCAACACCTTGAAGAAATAAGAATTTTGGTAAGTCATCAGTAAAATATGATTTTTAAATTCCATTATAAAGAAAACCAGAAAAAAGGCAAAATACTTTATCAAATGCTAAATTCTGAAAGTTCTAGACATGAAAGCTAAAGGTATCAATAAGGACAGCTCAGGATTGATGGTGTAAATGGGAAGAAGAGCTTCAGGATTCAAGACACCTACCTGTGCTTCTGAAAAGGAGGAAAATCATGCTTGGAACTGGAAACCTGGCCAGCTTCCCAGGCCTAAAGAGGTCCTTCCTACAACTGATCTGCTCCCTAAATAATTTTAGTTACCTGTTCAGGGAGTGAGAATGGTAGTTTGGCAGTAAAAGCCCATTTAGGGAAAGCACCTTATGGCCAAGGCAATGGAATCTCTGGCCTGGCTGGAGACCTAACATTATAATACTTTAGCTGGCTGTGACCAAGGGACCAAGGACCACTCCTGGAAAGGCAGAGTCGCCTTAAGCCACTGAAAAGGTAAGCAGAGGAATTATTCCTTTAATAAGAAAATGTGCTTCTCCCTCCCAGAGTTCCTGCCTCCAGTATAGCAGTCAGGGTTATGGAAGCTCTGTAACTTGGCCCAGTTTTCTGAATTACCAGTAAGGTGTAACTTCTCCTTTTCTTCTATCTCTTTTTATTTCTTCTTTTAATTTTTTTATTTATTACATTTTTTATTTACTTTGTATCCCCCCTGTAGCTCCCTCCCTCCTCTCCTCCCAATCTCATTCTCCCTCCCTCATCTACTCCCATGCCCCTCCCCAAGTCCACTGATAGGGTAGGTCCTCCTCCCCTTCCATCTGACCCTAGCCTATCAGGTCTCATTGTCTTCCTCTGTGGCCTGGTAAGGCTGCTCCCTCATCAGGGGGAGGTGATCAGAGAGCCAGCCACTGAGTTCATGTCAGAGACATTCCCTGTCCCATTACTAAGGAACCCTCTTGGGCACTCAGCTGCCATGGGCTACATCTGAGCAGGGGTTCTAGGCCATCTCCATGAATGGTCCTTGATTGGAGTATCAGTCTCAGAAAATACTCCTGGGCCCAGAGTTTTTGGTTCTGTTGATCTCTGTGTAGAGCTCCTGTCCCCTCCAGGTCTTTCTATCTCCCCCTTCTTTCACAAGATTCCCTGCACTCTACCCAAAGTTTGGCTTTGAGTCTCAGCATCTGCTTTAATGCCCTGCTGGGTAGAGTCTTTCAGAGGCCCTCTGTGGGTGGACTCCTGTCTTGTTCCTTGCTTTCCCAAACAAACTTGGCCTACCCTATCACTGGAGCTGCCTTGCTCTTTTTCTGAAGTACCCTCCCTCCCACGGGGCTGCCTGCCACCAGTGACTGACATGGCAAGCTCTTCTGACTACTTTCCTCAAAGAGGCTGCTGAGCTTCACAGCTTGCCTGCCCTGGGAGTTTTCTTTTAAACTCTAATAAGCTGATAAAGCCGCCCTTGATCTTAAAAAAAAGACCAACAAGCCTTAACAAACCAGACTAGCAGCAAGGACAACAAACAGTATAGAGGGTGTGACACAGGCTGGGCAACCTTCATCTGAAAGACAGAAGTGCCTGTGGCTGTGGGACTCCTGGGCGTGGGCTGTCTGCAGGGCAACACCACAAACATCTCAGTGCTGTTGAGCTACAGACTTCAGAGCCCTTTGGATTTCTCATTTCTGCATCAGTGATGATCAACTTCTGCTGCTAATTTTACAGAAGGAAAAGACAATTAAATAAAAACTGGACAGCAAACAGGATAACGTAGATAAACAAATTCCTAGAAACACAATTTGCTAAAATCGACTCAAAGAAAAAGAAAATCCGAACAAATGAAAAAACTAGTAGTTACTCAATCCATCATTTATCAAGTTTACTTACAGAGTGCAAAGGGCTGAATATAAATAATACATTAGTAAAATGAAGGGGGGGAACTCATGACCATTTTAATTGGCAGAAAAGGCACTGAACAAAAGTCAAGACACTTTCATGATAAAAAAGACTGAACAAATGAGGAAGAGAAGAAAATTTCCTCAAAATGATAAAGATCTTTGTGTTTGTAGATTCCTGTTGCTATGATAAAATACCTGCGATAACAACTAAAAGGGGAAAAAAAAACCGCTTCATTTGGCTCACAGTTCTGGGGGTCAGTGGTTACTTAGCTTCAGAGATGTCAGCCACTTTAGAGGCAGAACATCCTGCCAGGGAGCATGGAGTGGAACAAGCTCTTCAGCTCACTCACGACAATCAGAGAGCAAAGGGCTAAGGCAGGCGGAGGAGCGGAAGGCAAGCTACACTCTACTGGTGACCTCTTCCCTGCTTTGGCAAGTTCCCGTCACTGCTCTAACATACCAAAGCGTGACTACCAGTACATGGATCCATTGTGTGGGTCAGAATTCTTTTCATTTAAATACCCCCCAAAGCTCATCAGCTGAAACCATGTCTTACCCACATGACTTTCAGGGGCATTCTTACATCCAAACAAAACAGCAAATTCACAGCTACTAAACTACTCAACAGTAAAATACTGAGCAATTTTCTCCAAAGATAAAACCATGAAGACGCCCACTTTTATCGCTTTCATTATACAAAGTGTAAAGCGTCATTGCAAGAAACACTTAGAAAGAATATAGAAAAAGGTATCAAATTGGAGATTTGGATATATAATATATGCTAATATATTTGTTAAATATAATTGTGGAAAGCCCTGATATCTGCAAAAATACACACGACTTGTTAAAAGTAATTCCACAAAAGAACACCATCAAAGGATATTCCCAAAATGTAAAAGACAATCCTCACAGTAGGGGAAAGCATTTGCAAATCATGTTATCTGGTAAGAGATAAAAAGCCAGCACATGTCTAAGAACCTCTACAAGAAAACAACAAAAATACCTAACTCAAAAATCAGTACAATAGAAACAGACGTTTCTATAAAGAACATAAATGGCTAATAAGCATATTAAAAATATTCTCAGCTTCCTCTGGCCATTAGGAGAACAATTATTCAAAACCACAATGAGCTAGAACTTCATGCCTATTTCCATGACTATTTCATGTATTTGTAAAAATGGAAAGTAATGAGTACAGACAAAGATGTAAAGAAACAAGAACTGTACACGCTGCTGCTGTGAAAAGAGATCAGCATGTCCGCCAATATTGAAAGAACAGCTGCTTATGGATAAAGGCAGCAGTGGTGTCATCAACAGCTGCCAAAACGTAGAAGCAACTCAAGTCTTCAGCAGTGGATCAACTGATCAACAAAACATGGCACGCACAGTCAATGACACAATGCTGGAACGTAAGAACAGAATCAGGCACTGGCATGTGCCAAACATGGACTAGCCTTGCAAGCATTTGCTAAGTGAAATAAACCAGATATAGTAAGACAAATGCTACACAATTCCACTTGCACAAAGCACCCAGAATAGGCAAACTTCACAAAGACAGAAAGTAGACCAAAGGTCACCAAGAGTTGCAGGGAAGATGTAGTGAAGAGTTATGTAAACATTCCGGAAATTAATAGTGTTATAACAGTGAATGGTAAGTGAATATATGTGTAAAATGGTAAAATGGTTTGTGTCCTACATGCTCCATCACAACATAAATGTGAACACTGAGCCCTGTCACCACAAAACAGCTAAGTAAGATGGCTGACCCAGAGAGCTCTGCTGGAGAAAGGGCCTGCTGGGAAAGTTAATCTGTACTGAGTCTACTCAGGAAGAAGAAATCTTTGAAGGCCATGTGAGTTCAACTAACTTGATTCTAAACAAAGTCTTAAAGGAAACTGAAGTGGACTCTTTCTTAATTCTTCCTTTTTTAAGTCCTGTATTGCCAGCACCAGAAAAAGATATGAGTTATAGTTAAAGGAAACTATAACGAATGTCTCCCACAAAACAATGGAAATCCTACCAAAAAAAAAAAAAAAAAAAAAAAATCTTGGCTCATCTTAGAAATGGGAATAAAGCAAAGTACACTTTAGTATGTTAAACTGAAGCTCTGTTCAGCAGAGGGTACAGAAAACCATGAATTTCTGAGGAACTCTGTCCATAGCTCCTGACAGAAGGGCATTTCTTCACCTGATAAAAGGAATCTACAAAACACACCCAATTAACCTCACACTTAAGTCAGGACTGTTCTCCCTTATTGTCAGTTATGAAATAAGGACACCAACCCTGACCACCTCTACTCAGTATGTGTACAGCACTACATATTTTATCCAGGACAATAAGAGATGTTGATAAATAGAGATCACAGATTATAACAGAAGAATGTAAAAATCTAAAATAACAAACCAAAAACCTCCCAGAACTTACAAGGTTAGGGTTACTATTGCTGTGACAAAACAAAATGGCCAAAAAGCAACACAGAGCGAAAAGGATTCATTTCACTCGGTTCCAGAAAATAGTTTATTATCCAAAGCAGTGAAGGCAAGACCTGGAGGGAGGCAGGAGCTGATGCAGAAGCCAGGGAGGATGCTATTTACCAGCTTGTCCCTCAGTGCTTATTCAGCCTGCAGGCCTGCCTGCCTTCCTTTCTCATTAATTAATTAAATTAATTAATTTACTTTAAGTACCAATCAGAGCTCCCCTCCCTTCTCTCCTCCCACTCCCTCCCACCATGGCCCCTTCCTTTTTCCTCAAAGACGGGGAGATGGCCCAAAGATGTCAACCTGCCTTGGCATATCAAGTTGCAGTAGCATTTGGCCCATCTCATTCTGTCTGTCCAGTTAGATGAAAGGGAGCCAAAGGCAGGCAACAGAGTCAGAGACAGGCCTGCTCCTGCTGTTAGAGGCCCCACACGAGGACTAAGCTGTGCATCTGTTACGTAAGTGTTGGGGGCAGAGGTTTGCCAGCTGATGGTTCAGTCTCTGTGAGCCCTTATGGGCCCAGAGTTGTTGACTCCATTGATTTTCTTGTGGTGCCCTTGACCTCTCTAGCTCTTTTAATCCTTCCTCCCCCTGTTCCATGAGACTCCCTGAGCTCCGCCTAATGTTTGGCT